TGTGCGTGTGTGCCCAAGATCTCGAGAGGAGAATAGAGGAGAAGGGATTGCGGCGTGACCATCCTCCCTGGGGGGTGACTTCTCGCTTTCTGTCTCTCTGTCTCTCTCTGTCTGTCTGGCGAGCACACGCACCCTATAGCGAAAAAAAAAATCCTCTCAAAAAAAAAAAAACTATAAATATATCCCATATTATCAAGAATATAGAGGAAGCATGAATATACGAAGGAGAGATAAGAAAAATATATGAAGACCCAAATTGACAAATCTTTTTCTTTCTTTTTTTTTTTGGAGAGGTTTTTGCTATAGGGTGTATGTGCTTGCCAGACAGACAGAGAGACAGAGAGATAGAAAGCGAGAAATCATCCCCCAGGGGGGATGGCCACGCCGCAATCCCGTCTCCTCCATTCTCCTCTCGGGATCTTGGGCACGCACGCACATGCGCCCAGTGTGAGTTTAAGCCACCGGGTCCGGGACGCGAACCACGGTCGACTACGTGGGAGTCCAGCGACATAGCCATTACGCTAACTGCTGGCCCCAGAACTTGTATTTTTTAAAGAGATTTTTGCTATAGAGTGCGTGCCCTCACTAGAGAGACAGAAAGCAAGAAATCATCCCCAGGGGATGGCCACACTACAATCTTTTCTTCTCCATTTTCCTCTCAGGATTTTGGGCATGCATGCATTCAGGCCTGGCGTGAATTTCAAGCTCCTGGGTCCAGGACTTGAACCACAGTTGGCCATGTGGGAATTCAGCACCTTAACCACCACGCCACTGGCTGGTCCCCAAACTGAACTTCTAGAGACAATAAAAAACAGTGTTTGAAATGAAAAATACTGGCCTACTAGTGCTTACTACAAGCTGTGTTCATACACTGACTGTACAGAAGAAGAGGCAGAGTAAACCTACCCCAAATACACCTCAGCACAAGCTCTGTGCCTAGACTGTATTGTGAATGAGAGACATGGGGAAAAAAAAGAGAGAAATGAAAAATATCATGGAAGGGATTAAAAGCAGATTAAACACTGTAGAAGAAAAAAAAACCTTAAAGACATAGCAATTATCCAAAATAAAACACACAGGGTTAAAAAAAAATAATTTAAGAGAGCATCACAGAGCTGTGGGACAGGTCCAATTTTTTCTCTTTTAATTGTAAGGGAGCAACAGAGTGACAGAGAGACTAAGAGAAGGAGGAAGCACCCCCACTAGGGCATGTCCCCACTATAAACTCTTCTCTACTTTTCCATCCTGTCGAGATTTGGGCATGCAAACACACTCACCCAACTCTTTCTCAAGCCACTGGAACTGAGGTTCAAACCATGCTTGGCCATGTGGGATCTGGCTCTCATAACCCTAAGTGATGGGGCCAAATGACTTAATATATATGCAATAAGAGTACCAGAAAGAGAAGGAGGAAGACAAAAAAATACACAAAGAACCCGGCAATTCCCAAGTTATTTGGAAAGCTAAACCTACATATACAGTAGCTCAATAATTTGAAGCATAAAAATTGTCAAAGCATATCATAATCAAATTGCCTAAATTCACCAGCACACCACAATACCAGAGAGAAATCTGAATCAGAAAAATGGAATGAAAACCACCACAAATGGTAGCCACTTGAAAAATATATGACTTTTTAAATGATCTTTTTAAGAAACAGTAATTTATTAGTAGTAGTAGTAGTAGAATTATTATTTTAAATTTGCTACTGGGTATGTACACTCACCAGAAAGGGGGAGAGAGAGAGAGAGAAAAATGAGAAAGCAAGTGCTGGGTCTGGGACTTGAACCATGGTCCATCATGTGGGAGTCCAGTGCTTCAACTACCATGCCACCTGTTGGTCCCTTTTTCTTATTACCTTAATCTCTTTAATAGATACATAAAGAAAGAAGTTGGTTCGGAATGGACAGGGTTAGGGGAATTGGAAAGGAACATGTGAGCAATAGAGTCAAACTGACCAGGGCCAGTTCAACGTTTATCGAACCACTACGATGTGCTAGGAACTATCGTAGTCAGGGTTGAAAAATACAAGGCATAATCTTGGAATATGAAGGTAGGAAAACCCAGTTCAGATGGAAAGAACACAGAAAGATGAGGGTCAAAGTTGAATTGAAGGCAGGTTCATCAGGGATTACGTCCCTTCAAGGCCAAGAATTTCAAATGGTGGGTCAGAGTCGGCCCAGACTTGACTGCAGCTCCTACTTTGGATGTGGAAAGCTTCCAGAGAAGGCACGCTGCTCTCACTGTAGTGGTGTGACTGAGCCAAGATGAGGATCTACAGAATCATAGCCATTTTAAGCTCATTAGAAAAAGCTCTCAAAGAAACCTACCGAATGAAAATCCAAGACATGACCAGCCCTCCTAGGAGAGAAGAGACCCATTGCTGCTTTCATTCTTGATAGAAAAGCAACAGCAGCAGAAGGAAATAGCTATAGATAGAGGTAAGAGGAAAACAGCTGAATTTTTAACACAGTTATAAAGGTGGAATGTCAGGGATCAGCAGTTGGCTTAATGGCTATGTCGCTGGACTCCCATGCAGTAGACTGTGGTTTGAGTCTTAGACCGGTGGCTTCAACTCACATCAGGTGCATGTGTGTGTGTGTGCCCAAGACCCCGATAGGAGAATGGAGAAGGGATTGCAGCATGGCCATCTGCCCGGGGGGGGTGATTTCTCGCTTTCTGTCTCTGTCTTTCTGGCAAGCACACATGCCCTATGGCAACAACCTCTCTAAAAAAACAAATAAATAAAAATAAAGGTGGAATGTCTAACAACAGCATAGAATTCATGGATGGCAAAGATATAGGGGAGTCTTAACCAAACTGCCAACTCTCTTCTACGGGCCTTTCCACTGAGTGTTCATAAGAAAGGACAGGGTAGAGATCGGAGAGCTACCCTCCCGAGGCACAGATGTCCACAAAGACTGAGGATGAAGCAAGAGAACAGAAAAGATCTGTAGGACTTACACTGAATATGGAGGGGGCAATTTCCTACCAATGGGGGGAGAAATAGGTAAGCTGAGAGAGAAGAGAGAGACCCCCCAAAAATAACCCATAAGGCTCCCGGCCTTATACTAAGTATAATGCAGCAGCCACCTACAGCCTGGGGAAGGGGCAGGAGAGCAGCAATCATATGGGACCTGCTGATATCTGTGCATGGGGCCTATGGGAGACAAACCCTCCAGCCACTCAGATCCCGAGCCCTGCTAAAAGATACCTGATACCACAGGGCCCGGGAGAGGCAAATGAGGTGAATGAAGGACTTGTCTTGAGCACAAAAAAGAGATTGTGAAAAACACTCAATAATCATGATATTATAAATACGATTTTAAGTACTATTTTAAAATTTAAAGTTTAGGGCCAGAAGGTGGCACGGAGGTTAAGATGGCTGGATTCCAAATGGCCAACTCTGCAATTCCAGTTCCAGGTCAAACAGGTCAAAAAAAAGGTCAGGCACAAGTACGTGAGTGCCTGAAATTCGAAGAGGAGGATAGAGGAGAAGGGATTGCGATGTGGCCATTCCCTCGGGGGAGGTTTATTGTTTACTTCATCTCTTTATATCTTTTTTACTTTATCTATTTATCTCTTTTTCTGTCTCTCACTGGTGAGCACACATACAAACTAAAGACAAATAAAAACAAAAACTTAAAGTTTACACAAAAAGTCTACAATGAACAAAATATTTTTTTTCTTTTTTTATTTTTTTTGGAGAGGTTTTCGCTATAGGGCGCATGTGCTTGCCAGACAGACAGAGAGACAGAAAGCGAGAAATCACCCCCCAGGGGGGATGGTCACGCCGCAATCCCTTCTCGTCCATTCTCTTCTCGGGATCTTGGGCACGCACGCACACGCACCCGGTGTGCACGCGGTGTGCACGCGGTGTGCACGCACATGCGCCCGGAGTTTTAAGCCACCGAGTCCGGGATGTGAACCGCGGTCGACTACGTGGGAGTCCAGTGACATAGCCATTACGCTAACTGCTAGTTCCCAACAAAATATTTTTAAAAATTATTTTTCTCTTTAATTTGCTATAGGGGATGTGCACTCAGAGAGAGAAAGGGGGTGGGAGGAGGTGAAAAATAACCCCCCAGAAGGGATGGTCACACTGCCATACCTTCTCCATTTTCTTCTCCAGATTTTGGGCATGCACGCACACAAGCCTGGCATAATTTTTAAGCTGCCAGCTCTGGGACTCAAACCAAGCCGTCAGCCATATAGGATCTAGCCACCCTAACCTCCATGCCACCTGCTGGCCCTTTAAATTTTTAAATAAAGACAGAATAGTATTACTGCTTTTTCTTTTTTAAATTATTATTAATTCTGGTTTGTCTTTCTGCTTCAGGCTCTAATATGACTTGTCACTTACTGGCCCTGTCTCTCTCTCTCTCTTTCTTTTGCCTGAGGACACCTACACTTATGCTTATGAGAGAAAGAGAGAGAGAAAGCATTCCTAGGGGGCAAGGTCATGCCATAATCGCTTCCCCACTTTTTCTCCCTTTTTTCAGGATTTAGAGCAAGCACGCATGTGTGCCCAATTTTGTCTTTCTGTACCCAGGAAATGCCTCACCTGCTTCCTGTTAGTTCTGACCTTGACCTGCTCTCAAATAATTAAAGTTATGCGATAATCCGTCTCTAACAAATACATGCAAAGCCCAGCTCCATTCAGCATAGCCTATATTGTCCCAATTGCTCCATTTTAACAACTTGATAGAAAAAGAGATATGGCCTTTTGTGAGCATAAATATGATTCACTCCAGGTTCTTCTGTTATTTGACATATAATACGTGTCAATAAAAAATCAAAACAGATAAACAAGCAAGAAAATTAAATCCATCACTAAGAGAGAAAATAGAACTAGACAGACAGCTGTCACGCATATTGGTATAATTGAACTCAATATTTTAAAATAACTATGATAGATAATGTTAAAAGAGCTCATATAAAAGTGAACAATGATTATAACAGATGGGGAATTTCCCAGGAGAGATGAAAGCTATAACAAAGTGAACATGCTTGAAATAATAATAATAATAATAATTAACAATAATAATAATAAAAGGGTATAATATGTAAATTCTTCAGTTTAGACACAGAAATCAGTGAATTAGAATACAAGTACTAGAAATTACCCAAAATGAAACACAAATGGGAAAGAAAGAGACAGAGAAAGAGAGAGAGAGAAAGAGAAAGAGAGAACTCACTTGAGATATGGAGAATACTACTGTGTGAAAGGTGTCCCACAGAAGATGAAAAACAAAAGGAGTATAAAACATCTAAAGGGATAATACATTTATAAAATTCACTAAAGACACTAGCTCACAAATCTAACAAGTTCAGTAAACTGATAGGAGGTTAAATACAAATAAAATACACTTATGTGCATCAGAATCAAATTGCTAAAAACTGAAAGTAAAGAGAATATCTTGAGAACACATCTGTTTTAAAAAAGACCAAAGAATATATTACATTTAAAGGAACAATTATAAGAATAATGTCTGACTTCTCATCAGGAAAAAGAAGCTAAAAAATAGGCATCGGAACCCATAACAGTGAAAGAGAAAAAAAAAAGAACCAAGTCAATCTAGACTGTACATTTTTTAATCACTCAAATTATACAAAAGAAATGTGTAATGCAACTCAATGGAGTATATATCAAATTTTTGATTTAGTATTACCATTGGAGCACAGCAAGCAAATATCAAATTATTCCCTTTATTGGTCTTTATGTCATCTAAATTACTGAATAAATTATTAATATATATTTTAAATTTTGCCATAGGACACATGAAGTCAGTTGAGAGAGATAGAGACAGAGAGATAAAGAGAGACATGGAGAGTGAGAAAGCTCCCCCAAATGGACCATTTTGCAATCCTTTCTCTGTTCTCCTCTTGGAATATTTCCCATGCCACTGGGTTTGGGACTTGAACAGCACAGTTGGCCATGTGAGATCCAGGTGCCTTAACCTAC